GCCGGCGCGTGCAAATTCCCGATGACTAAGACTTCAGGCAGACTCGCCTTGTCTGTCAATACCGCGGTGATCAATCCAGCCCGCATGTCATTTGATTCATAACCTGATAAGTTTATTACACACAGGAAATCATTTTATGACCGAAACATTAATGCTTTCCCTATCGACAAGTGCGCCTCTGCATGAATGATTCCATCGCTATTGTTAACGCTTATGTTTTACAAGTTGCAGATCGGAACTTTCAATTTCTATGAGCATGATTTTTTGCTCGGCTTCAATTTCGTCATTTTTTCCTGAAAGATCCATCCTAGAAACGTTCATGATGGTGGATAAAACATGACATCATGTTGATGATATGCCAACTTGCCACCAATGCGGTATCATATCGTACCTAGGTAGTAAAGTAAAGGTACCTAGCTCCATCTTAGTCTTTTCGAAATCTCGTGGGCGTCGGCCCTATTGATTCCAATGGATCGCACTCGATACATCGAACAGGTGAAATTGTATCGATATCGATTGACTCAACATGTAAACTTAGCCCCAAAAGTCAATTGAGTAATCTAAGGGAACGGGTTTCTTGTGATAGATTTTTTATTCTTATGAGTATTTAATGGCAATGGAAAGTGAAATTGTTATGTTTTCTCATTTTCAGCTTTTCCTATTTAAATCATAGAATTTTTTATGTTTGGTTCTTTGGAATCAATCGATAAAGATAAGCTAAATAGGGTATTCATCAATACCAAATTTCGACCGGTAATTTTCTGGAAACATGATCTTTTGTAGTCTGCCTGGTAGGAGTGCACTCTGCACACATCCGTTTCTCATTTTCTCACTCTTCGAACGGAAGATAGAGTCTCTCCGGAAAATGTAATGACTCACAGTTTAGTCACATTATGTAAGGCGTTTATGTAAAACTAAGTCAGTAATGAAAATTAAGTGTGAAAAAAAGGAGGTAAAATATGAGGTGAACGGCCCAAGGAGGAAATGTGTATCAGCGATGCTGCCTAATCGCAGCCAGGAAATTGGTAACTACATGAGGGCCTCAAAATCCTCGGCAGATTATATGCACAACAATTTTCAGGTATGTATTAGCATATGAGCTAAATGGAATGAATAAACTGTGTGATTCTTACGAGCAGCTTCTGATGACATTTCAATCCCTCATTTTATAAAAAAGTGAAAAATGTCAAAATGCGCTGAACTATAATATGTTCTTTGTGCTTTTAAATATCATTTTTATTTTTGCAACAAACGTGGGTTAGGCTTAAACTGAATTTGTGTAGGTACTACCGACCTGTACCCGACCGCAATGTGTTGGCGCAATGCGTGAAGTATTCATGCAGTTTTGTAGGCGCTATGCGTTTCACGCCGACTGCTGCTGACCGCAGTGTGTTTGATGCAATGCGTGAAGTATTCATGCAGTCTTGTAGGCGCTATGCGTTTCAAGCCGACTGCTGCTGGCCGCAGTGGGTTTGACGCAATGCGTGAAGTATTCATGCAGTCTTGTAGGCGCTATGCGTTTCATGCCGACTGCCGCACCGCTCCGTTCCAGGTCAAATTGCGTGTTTGGCTTCTCTCTTAACTCGACTAATTAAAGGTGTTGTCTCTTGTATCACCGAAATACGGCAAAATTAGAAATTACTATACTTTCATTCTCAAGAAATGAGAGATTTTGTCGCCTTTTCTCGTTTGTAATTTATTTTCTGAATCCGATTTTTCTCTCTCTTTGATACCTACATTCAAAAAGATTGCAAAATTTGCCGCCCCCTACATTTTGCCGCCATGGGCCGCGGCCCATGTGGCCACCCCCTTAATCCAGCCCTGCTGCTAACAGGTCTTTAAGCCCTCTAAGTCAAAAAGTTTTTTCCCCGAAGAAACTTTGACTAATATATCCATATGAGCAGGAATGTTTTGGTTCAATCGGAATTAGATGCCTCGATTACAGAAAGGAAATTCAAAGCCTGGTAAGTGGCAGCTGGTGTTTCTAAGATTATGCGCTTATATTTTTTATTAAAGTATTCATAGTTCTAAAAGCAACTGTTATTAATCTAAAAGTGAGCCACTTTAGAGAATTTTAATTAATACAAATTTCATAAAATTTATGGAATTGCGTTTTTTTCCACACATAAAAACAGCATATAAATATATTAATTTCAACACATCACAGCACTCACCAGGTTTTGAATCTATGTTCCTCACTCCTCAGTTGAGAAATTAAACTTTTTTTAAGTTAGTGGCAACCCTGCAAAAAATAGGGCAGGATGCACCTAAATACAATTTCAGGGATCCGCGTTTAGCAACGCTCAATTTTGCGTAGCCTCACGTGACGTTTCGCCGTACTTCCCTGGTAGTTATNTGGGGGGGGGGGGGTGTTTGGTGTCGTCGTGCGCGCAGCGTTGGATGATAGACTACGGACATGCGGATAAGAACATGCGGTGAATGCGCTATTAAGAGCGCGTGCGCGTGATTATGCATTTAAGAGTGTGTCCCGGCTCCGATGCCGTTTCTTCCTCGTATCACCTGTTTTCGGGTATCATCTTAGCAGGGATAAAATGCAAATTGGCAACACTGCTGTGCTTTGAAATTGGCACGGGCGGTGTCGCTAGAGTGAGGTTATTTCGTTTGCATCGCTCTCTTTTTACCGTTTGAGCATGTGTCTGGGATGAAGACGAAAGGGTGAATCGGAACGCGTTTAGCAGGAAGGAACCAAGCCATATCACCTTTTGCCAAATTTAACTGAGCAATTTAAGTTTTTACAAGAGAACTTTTATGCGAACTTTTTTGAAATTTTTCAGGAATTTGCTTCGCAGTGTGCAAAAAATTCACTGAAATTTGCAAAAAAATCTTCTTATCCGTTTTAATGTATAATATTTAACTACTTGGTTGAACTTGACAATAGCTGATGTGGCTTGGTATGTTTCTGCTCAAAGCGGTTTAATTGGTACTCGTACGTCATTCTTGTGGTTCCACGGGCAATTGGACGTATTTATGCTAAAAGGGACTATGTCTCACGCAAACCCCATGTACATAGTTCCTTTTAGCATAAACTCGTCCAATTGTAATAAGCCCAACGGATTTGAATGAGCTTTGCATGGCGTTCCACAATCCTACGTCTTACTGTATTGCGCCGTGTCTTTAGTGTGCATTTCAATCCATATGCTCGTCAAAAGCTGCGCAAAAGTCATTTTTTAAACATTTCCATGGTTTAAGTTTTCTAAGATAGAGATTCCGCCAATTTTGCCTTTTTGTGAAACATCAAAAGCCACAAAATTCGTAAAGGCTTACTTTATTCGATAAAATTTTGAGTGTATCGAAACTTAAACGCTTAGAATCTAATAATAGTATTTGACTGTGACGACAAGAGAGAAATGCACCATCCGGTTGACTGAGGTATAGGTCTATTCTATAAGCAGCTGACACTTTTGGCGAGTTGGTGCTAAACTTTCACGGGTTTGACGGATTGCTAACAGTCCCGGATAGGATCAACGTAATCAGCATGTTAAAATTGGCTAAAGAACTATTTTTTCCATAAACAGAAAGTTTCAAACGATAAGGATGATAATTATTCGCTTTTCGATGCATCAACACGGTGTATGCTTTCCTAGAGTCTGGGTGCTTTTCCAGAAATTCAAAAGTGCTGCGAAGTACGAGTGAAATGATGCCTATTCATGGAAAATACCGAAATTATCACCATTATTCAGAGCCATCAAAATGGGGATTCAGAACACGGTTAAATTCGCAACAAGTAAAGCAACTATTTAAAAATTGGAAAAATTGGTGCGGTTTACAACTGGATCGCATGTAGAAAGAAGGAGCCAGTGCAATTATAGTGTTGTAAAAATGTTGCTTCTCCATATTTATCTGATAAATGTGCTAGAATAGCAAATGGTTTTAGCTTCCCACCAAAAAATTGTCAATCTTAATAATTGTGTAAGTTTCAATACTGTACAAAACTTCAGTAATTTCAAAAGAAAATGAGAAGTTGCACGATATTGAAAACACTATTAAAACTCCAATAGTTTTTTCTAAATGCGATCCAACTGTTGTTTGTAACGCGTGATATTACTGAGGGTAATCTCTAAAAAATTGAGAGAATGGCCAGATTGAGTAAAACAAGTCTTCAGATATGTCATTTATTAATATAATACCAATTGATATAGACTAAACTTTATTTTTAACAACGTCTGTCTGTGCCTCCTCCAAGGTATATATTTTTCAACTTTTAATCTTTTTCTCCTTAATAGGTATCATAAGATTTATTTAACGTTTTCATACGCTGGACCGTTCATATTTCTCTCCTCTGCGGTTTTATTTGAAATTTATCTTTACCTCTCCCTCTCCGTAAATTTGAGTTGATGATTTCATCTGATTGATTTGGTCTGAATAACAGCAAAATCAGCTAAACGAAAACGAAAGGATCAGGTTTACTCCAAACGGCAACTAGAGCGAGTTTTAGATGAATGAAACCAATAGACGAGGACCAACACCGGGGTAGCAGCAAGCTGCAAGCACCAAGCACCAAGGCCCGAACCCGGCCTAGAAAGTTAATTACACGAGCCAAAACAAATACACCTAGTTGAGCCGCGTAAAATGAGCCATCGCAGCGGAGAGACAAAAAAGAAAGTTCAAAAAAGGAGGAAGACGAAACCCAAAATGTCAAAAAAAAAAAACAAAAACAAATAATCTTTTGTGTTTACACACGCCGATAAGAAACGCTTTCTCCCCTAAACGTCGGCACACGTAACTCTTTCGTGTAACGTATTACAAAAAGAATCCACTGTTCTTCTTACTCGGTTTCGGCGTGCCGGAAGGGGCAGGTGGGGGTCACGGGGGGCGGGAAGGGGGGCAACGCGAGGAGACGGCGGGCAGACGCAGTGCCCCGGACGCTGCGGCGGGGGGCCGGGGGGTGAACGAGAGGGGGCAGCACATCCATTGAGGAGTGTTCCTCCGCGCCGGTCGTATAAAAACTCCGTCTACGAAATTCAAATTATCAGTCCGTTTTTGACAAGTGAAGGGGTGTTGTGTTTCCTCCGCGTATAGTGCCCGGCTTTGGATATTCAGTGAAGATGGAGTACGCGAAAATCTGTTTGTTGTTGGTTCTGCCGGCTTTGGCCAGTTGTGCGGTGACGGGGTTCGCCTCCCAGGATAACGAGGTCGTGTGGCGGGCCCGCAGTGCCGATAGCGAGGACAAGGGAGGCCTGAAGGTCTTCGCAAAGGTCCTCGAGGACTGCAACTCGGAGGACTACTCGAAAATCGCGTCTTGTCTCGGCGTGAAGACGATCGTGGCCCTCGACAGGGCTGCCCGCGCCGGGAGTATCGACTTGATCTCCGGAGTGAAATTGGTGAAGACCGAGGACTCTGAATCCCTGAGGAACGGACGCTCCCTCACCGAGGAAGACATCCAGAACTCCATCGACGCCGAACCCACCGAGAGGTCCTCCCGGCTCCTGGACCTCCTCTTCGAGTCCGCCACCAAGTTCCTCCAGTCCCACTCCCTCGAGTTCAAATTCCCCCAGACTTCCCCGCAAGAACTCCAGAGAGCTTTCGAAGAAGGTACGTTTCCATTTTGCGTTCTTATTCCCCGAGAAAGCTTTTGTAATACTGGCTGAACTTACTTGAAAGACATCAGCTTACATTCCCATTAAAAACAAGGCGAGTTTTTTTTTTTTTTTTTTTTTTTTTTTTTTTTTTTTTTTCTGTTGTTTTATGGCTTTGTGACTAAGCACCTGCAGCCAACTTTAGACTAGTGTGATTAGTGTAGTGAGTAGGTTACAGGTGATTAGATACCGACTATAGAGGTGTGAAAAAGAAAAAACTAAAAACATGGAAAAAGGTGAGGGGTTGATAAAAAAGAGGAGTTGAGTAGGGAGAGGGTGAGAACCCTTCACCATTTTCACGCTCTGATACCCGGCAGAGCGACTTCCTATGACCAGAGACTGGGTAATGGAAAACAAACAAAGTGAACATACGGTAGGGAACCAAGGCGAGTTAATAGTATAGTTGTAAGCTCAGCCAGTCGTAATATATGGCTAAAGTTGGGAAAGGTAACACCCTTGCAGCAACGGTGCAAATTTTCACATGATATTATTTTTGATGGAAAACTAGACAACATTTCAACCTGAGATTGTTGCTCTTTCTTTTCCAAAAACCAAATCAATTTTCAAAAAAAGTTCAAAAAAAAAAATAATTAACTATGAGCGGAAATTGTCAACATTCCAAGTAAAGGTGTTCTTTTTTTACTTAAGCAACTGTTACTTCCTTTTATTCAAAATTAAAGCCCGAAAAAAAGTTTGGTTCATAAAGGCCATGAAGTGTATCTTTTATATTGAGTTTTATAGAGCAATTACACTTAACTTTTTCGAAGCTTATACTTAGTGTGGGTCGGTTATATGCCATGTATCAAGTTTTTCTTTTCTCTCAGTTTGTCATTCGAACCTTCTAGATATATTCTTCCGTTCTTTTACCTATTTTTTATCTTCATTTTCTGCAAAGTATAAGAACGGACTGTAAATTAAGATGCCAAAAAGAGCATTTCGTAAAAATGCATAAATCATTTAGCAAGAAAAGCAATGATGACTTCTCCACAGTCAAGTGACCATTTAAAAAAGAGTAAAAAGTAGGTATCTTAAGATAATTGTAAATCATGAAGCAAAAGTTTCCCTATCTTCATTGGAAATCCAACTCGTACACACATTTTTACAGAAAGGACTCATCCGTTTGTATCAGTGCATTTTAAATTAATGAGCATATTATGGGTCAGTTCGTTGTCATAGAATCTTGTGCTTTTATGGTAAATAACGTTGATTAGCTCTATAAAAGTTTCAAGTTCCTGTATTGCATCCTCACCGAGATACTTCCCTCCTAAGATATAATGATTGCTGCCATCCGCTCTGGTACTGCATCACGTATGTTTTACCACCTTTGACTTATAAATTAGTAAAGCGCATTTTTGCATTTTTTGCTCAACGTGCATAACTATCAAAACCAATGAAAATTGTGGATGACGTCGATCCCTGTGTTTTTCGAGGGGCAACATCCTTTTTGATATCGGGTCTTAAAATTTCGCGCTTTGACAGATCAGCTTATCCTAGGTGCTTTGTAAATTTTGACCGTCAAAATGTAAAAACCCATCATGGAAGCTGCGAGTTAATTATTACGATTTATAGACGAAGCGATAAACAAGGGAGAAAAAGGGAAAATTTAGCGATCCTATATCTGAATGCAGGCGGCTGTAATGGACAAAGGAGGTAAGTAATAGACTAACTAACTGCAATTCACAAGAGATCCTGTAGTTAGTCCATCATTTTCTACCTTAGTCTTTAAAGCCTATTGTTTAAATCACTAGAATCGCTTCTTTTTCCCTTAGTCTCCTTTGTCTACAGCTTTCATCAATTTTAATAATCAGCCCGCTAAAGAGGGTGTATGAAGTGGAAAGGCAAGTCAACGTGCACATCTCCTCTGAGCTGGCCGAGGAGGCAGAATACCAGAGCGCCTTCATGTTATCTGATAGGCAACGAGGGCATCCCGGAAGCACGTTTAGTTGTATCCAGGCGCTAGCATCAACTATCATTTACCATTACTATACCACGCTTATTGTCATCAATTACTTTTTCAATAGTCAGTCTGCTATTTCCTTTAATTACAGGGGCTTATGATTTGGCCCCGATTATTCTTACGAGGGACTATTTCTTCTCAGATTATACAAAATACTACCTACAAAAGTTATCAGTTCTGCTTGATGGCGTTTGAATTATCAAACCATTTTCAACGGAGATGAGAATCAAGTGGCAGTCAAAATTACCGCTATCCTAAATATAATATTATTATTCATGGCTTGCCCAGTTACCCTCTTCCACCTACTCGCACAGTTCCTCCAAAAATACAAATGGGGCCCTTCCTCTTGACATTCCACAACCTGATTGTGTGTCACTCCTTGGTTGTAGGCGTGGGCTTCTCGACAGCTGTCATTTTAAATTAACTAAACAAGCACCCAAAGACTTCTGAAATTTGGCCAGCACCGTAGAAGGGCGTAATAAAAAGAATTTATGAGGCTCCTGAGAGGAAATTCGCACTGGGATACGCGTTACCGTAATATTTTATGTCAGTTCTCTTAAAGCTCAAAAAAACACTGATAGACATTACTAATCAGACATTATGAATGTCCAATAATTATGTCAAACCCGCGTGCATTATTTTTCAATGTTCTAAAGCCAAAAAGCGGTTAAATTATCTCAGTTGCTATTCTAAATGTATTTCACACTACGCATCGGGAAAATGTTCAGCAAAAAATTGAAGAAACCATCGTTTCAATTCATGGGGACTCGAACAGAAAAATTTTAATAAGAGGACCCTACATTTTTCGTACATTTTTCTCCCGCTTATTTTTCTGGGGAACTTAAAAGTCAAGATAAAACTTAAACAGTTGTTTTCATTAAAAAAAAGAAAAAATATTTTTTATAAAATAAAGTTCATTTAGATATCAATCTTTTATAACCTTGCATCTTTTCATCTTTTGAAAACATTATTAATCTGATGCATCCTGAGTTGCTTATAATTTTGGCAATGTCATTAGATTTATCGTCTACTCTCTTAAAGGTATCCCGAAACCAACTTAAACATAAACCCTGATTCAGAAAGAGCTTATTTCGATGATTTTCATCAAAGTCTCATAGTAAAAATACTAATCACATTTTAATTCATTGATAATTTGAGCTTAAAAAGTGTCTCGAATTGGCAACGATGCCAATCGTGAATAATTAAACGAGGAGAAAATTGGGTGCCACGGGCGCTAGGGACGGAGAGGGCAAAGAACATAGGTACGCACTATTATGCGGTGACGACGAACAAAAACCACGCATCAAAATTGCGTATCTATCGACAATAAGTGGTTTTCGCGTAGCAGGGCGCTGGAGGCATCGCTGGAAACATTCCTCGACAAATAAAAGGACTCGGAGACAATACGGAAAGTCTGCCTCATCCGTCAACAAAAGATTAGCGTGTACGTACATGCGTAATACTTTAAAAAACCGTAGGTCCTCATTGTTTGGACTCCTTAAATTATGCGGCGTTTGTTTGGGGAAGAGAGAGCTTCGGCTCTCGGTCCTTTCACCCACTTTTCGGGCTGGAAATCCTCGCCGGGCTAAGATCGGTTTCATGTCCCGTCGTTGAGCTAAGTAGGTGAGGCCCCCCGGAAAAGAGAAGGAAATGAAAGGAAAAGTTGAAAATTTGCCGTGACTTTTAATGGACTTGCTCACTTGCTCTGTGTACGAGACCAAATAAATATATTCATTTATTCTGATTCTTAATCATTAACAACTCGTTTAGGTTCCTTCCTTACGTGGCTGACCGATTCAGGACTTGACAGATTTTATTCTCATGCAGCCAATTGCTTTTATCGTTTGTACAATTGAGAACTTTCTTCCTCCTATATTTTCAAACTATTAAGAAGGGTTAGTAGTAAATAATCCACTATTTAGATTGGGTATAGTCAAGAAAATGAACTTTTTCGAGCCATACTTTCATCTATCGGTCGGAAGCTGCCATCAAAATTACAGTTTCCTTTCAATGAATCGTTTAATCGGAAAATTTTAACGGAGTTGATTCACATGCTGATTTTCTCTCAGATCTCTTTTTAAATTAAATAATTAAATCATAGGAAAGGTTCGAGTTGTTCGGTGGCTTCTCTCAGCTTCTATCAAAAATGAGACCGTAATAAATAAAATGAGAAAAATGTCAAAATTATTTACACGATCGCTTATGAAGAATTCTCCCACCTTCGTTTTTCGATTGAAGCTCATATTCATACGATGCTTTTTTCCGGAAACGCGTTAAACGTGATGCAACGAGACGGAGAAGTTTGGAAATAAACCGCAGAGCAAGAAAAGGCAGCAGAGGCGGCAGATCGCTTTGAGTGAAATTCTCCCTCTGCAGCCGATTCATCAGCTCAGTTTCATTTTTATTCTCGATGCAGAAATGCAAAATTATCTCGTTGTTAATAGGTAGATTGGCGGCACGTGATTCGTCTCTAATTTTCCGTGGCGAAAATTGACGGCAAATCCTGCGGGAAATCAAGCTGAGTTGCCGAGTCTCCCTGAATTTCTTGCACCTATTGCTCCAAATCGTTTAAATTTCATTTCAGTAGCTTCCTATTAAATCTGGTGACCCTTGAATCGAGAAGGGAGCAATTGATGGCTCTCTGGTGAGGTGAATGGAAACCAGCCGATATTACGGATGGCGACTCGATCTGATACTTCTGGGATAACCATCTGAACTTGAGTTCGTGACGTTGCCGTCATCATTGTTTTTTGGCGTGAATGAATTTTTTCAATAGGATTGTATCCCCTAGTCCACCCTTTAATTAAAATTTCAATCTATTAATAATTTATGAATGGGAAAGATAAAGAAAAGTGAAGAGATTTTTCAAACAATTTCTAAAACGTGAATTTATCAATATTTTCTAACACTAAAGAGGCAGTCGATCATTGATATTCAGGAGAAATGACTATTCCAAAATACTAATTTTTTCTTCTTTTTTTATTGACCTGTCTTATCTG